TTCACATAATCACATGACAGAGAAGCCGAGTTATGAAGTAAACTACTCATAATAAACAAAAAATAATTGAATCATTGAATCCATAAGTCGATTAAAGTTAGACCACCATGGAAAATCTGGAGGCACTGGATGGTCATTTCGTCCTAGCATGGGACTCCTCAACAGTGAGCATCCGCCGTCCCGCTCATGAAACTCGAACCCAGGGCCTAAGTTCTGGCGCGCGAACGTTTATCCTTTAGACCACGCACTCAGCATCCAACAATGTTAATGTCCAACTTCAACCAATCCATGAAATCAATGAATGAATGAATGAATGAATGAATGTGATCAATGTCATATAAATTTTATGAATTAAAGATAATTTTCGAAAAAGAAGCAATACACTTCTTTTCTTTTTTCTTTCTATACACATAAAATTGTTAAGAAGACTGGCACGTGTTTATCTCTATTAACCTCATTATTATTATTATTATTATCAACAGTGCTTCAACTATTATATTTATAGTTCATCTCATACATATAAGGAACAATATATGGATTAAAGTAACAATCGAGGAGCGTGTATGAGTGTGTGTATATATGTGTATGACAGAGAAAGAAACATGAGAGTAAAATCAAAGTCAAATGCCGTAATATGATTAATTTGACAGTCTATAACTATAACAAATAGTCTTCTCTTCATTATTCACTCAATATAAATATAGATAAATTTAAAGAGTACATCTGGTTAAACGAAAATATTTTACGGTGACTGATCATATGTAAAATATCTGCTAAAAGTAAGTTGGATATCATTTACAGGGAGTTATAACTAACTAACTTACTTACTATGTGTCAAAATGGTATTAAATTATATTTAAACTTTAAGAATAGAATAAATACAAATACACTTAAATCACAATTAATGAATAGTTAAGTTTAATAATGACTGGTAGGAAGAGGATATTAATTAATTAATAATTATTATGAATAGTAGTAATTACTAACATATCCAGGTGGTTACTTTTTCCTGTGTTTATTTTTATCCATTATTTATTTGATCTACTACCAAGACTACTGCATATAATAATAACAATAATATATTATTAACTACAAAATAATCATATACTTTAATTGAATGAGTTTTATAATAATTTATGAATTGATTTCTATTAAGATGTCATTGAAAACTAAGGAGGACTGAATAGTTGTTTCTTTTTAGTATCGAACTTTTCAACAGTATGCAATCAAAAATCCACTAGAGATCGAAGTTAAGAGCTTCAAAACTCATGGCAAGTGCTTAATCATTAGGGCCACTAGGTCAACGTAGAATGATCTATTTTCAACTCCCATATTAGGATTAAAACCATTCTCATTAATTAAGTAAAGTGATCATCGTTCTAAATATCAAGTTGATTGAAGTTATAACCATACCACTGTATGTTGACACAGTAACTCTAATGGTTAAACGTTTATCGTTGGAACTTGAGGTCTTAAATTTAATTTCTGATAATGCCGAGAGTTCACAGCTCTGAGGGATACCATACTAGGATGAAACAACCTCTTGTTTCGTTAATATTAGATTTAATACTACTAGTTAAGATTAACTTAAAATATATATGATACTTGGAAGGGGTTTTGTGAAGATTTTAGTAATTTCAATAGTTAAGATCATGAGTCAAATGAAGCTAGACCACCATGGAAAACTTGCAAGCACTGGAAGGCCGTTTCGTCCTACCGTGGGATTGCTCAACAATGCCCACCCACGATCTCGCCCCCCACGAGATTCGAACCCAGGACCTATCAGTCTCGCGCACGAGTATTTAACCACTAGACTACTGAGCCGACATCCAACGGTGTTAATGCCTAAATTCAAGTAATTCACGAAATTGAGCGACATATCCACCATTATCATCAGTGAGTTACTATCTCACAAATGACCCGGTTGAACTCCACTAGTTACTGCTTCTTACTAGAACTCTAGGAAGTGTCTCTTGAAGCCAGTCACTAGTGAGCATATTTTATATGGTTAAGCGCTCGCGCGCGATATCAACTATTGATATATGATATTTACTAAATATATCTATTGTTTAAATCATTTCGACTTTTGTGTCCACTAGCTCATGTAGTTTTCAAGTAGTCTATTGTGAAACTTTATATGTGTGAGATCGATAAAGATTTATGTTAATAAGTGAATTGTAAATTGATGTGCATATTTAAATATAGGTAAAATTAAATCGGAATAACAATGTCTGATGGTTGGAAGTCGTTGACAGAAAACTCCAGACCTAAGTTTCATGTTATTTGCACTTGTCTTGAAAAAAGCTAATGTTCCCTTGAGGATTCAATTCCGTGTAATCTAACTCTAAGACTATAGACTTTTCTGAGTCCCAAATAACGCTAAATATAGGTTTAGGATTTCCTGCCGACTATCTCTAACTATCGCTTTATAACTCAACATGGTACAAGAGACATCTAGTCATCTAGACTAGTGGACTCGTTTAGCATTGAAGAAGGACAAATATCGTATTATGCACTACTCAGTGATCAGTCAGTTGTGAACAATAATAACACTTCATATTCTAATGATTTGATCTGTGGACTCGGCATTATTCTTAGTGTGCTTTAACAAGAAATATATCCTGTAAGTGAGTGGGGTTTTTCTAGCAGACACTACGGATGGGGAATAATTTAAGACTTCACTAAAAATACAAACCCTTCCAAACCTTTTCTGCAACAAAGCACAGATAATCTAAAGATAAAAGAGATCAGAAAATTAACCACTATGCGGTAGCACACTAGACTGAAGGTCTTGGGTCTGAGTCCAGGATTCACACTCATAACCATTAAAGTAAGTTGAGCCCACAACGTTCAAGCAAAATGTTGAACAATAGAAAATTAAGAAAGCCATTGGACTGAAATTCAACCACATGTATTCTGAAGTTTATTTAGTTTGTAGTAGAATGCATCGATTTTCATCTCTACACCAAAAGTAGAATGACACACATATTCAGTGATAAGTGCTTTTTGATGGTTTTTCTATTAATGTTTCATTTCTAAAGGAAAACTACCTAGGAAATAACAAATAAACCTTTCCAAAGCCAATGGTTTCATTATTAGCATATGCGGTTTGTAAGGATTATCAAATTTTATAGTTTATATTACAGACTAATTTCGAAGAGTGCGAGGCGTTTATCTACTAATGGCATTGAAAGACAATTGAGCAATATTTTGAACTGATTGATCTTAAATATGTAAAACATTAGATATTGACTCAATAGTTTAAATACTCCTCTCTAACCCTTAATATTCTATGTTCAAATCTTAAGGGGATCATAGATTTACAGTGATGGACGAAACAATTATTCAGTACTTCCTGAGCTTTAATTTTTATTCGAGGTTCATCTAAAATGTAGGTTGTAAACTAATACTTTAATAATGTAACTGTGTATAAGGAACATTATACAATGACTTTTATTTAAATAGTCTTCAGATAGGGCGAAACACGCATCCTGGATTTCACCGCTACCCACTATCCATCTTTGCTCATAAAGCTTGTGACTTCAGGCAATATCGAGGCAGTCCGCACAGGAGCACATATGCCAACAAAAAACTGATCAATCGCAGTCCTAAATAACAATGTGAAGATACAAGTAAACAACACCAAGTGAATATAACTTCACTCCATTGCATAGGCAGGTGGCTACTATGATTTAGTAGCTAAGTGGATAACGTGATGGCATTTGAACTGAACGGTACTGGGTTCAAATCCCAGAGTGAGTATCAACTCTGAGATGTGAGTATATTCAACTGACGAGTCCCAAATAGGATGAAACGCGCGTTAAACTGGTTTCTACAGCTAGCCACTATCTATTTTTGCTTATAATTTATTCATGTTTAGATATATCTGTCTGTCCGTTTAATCTTCAAATAAAAATTGACAACGCTTTTATTATAATTTCAATCATAGTTTTATGTAAAATCCCCATAGAAAATAATACGATTGGCTTAATATATGAATGTGCGTATTCTATTCCATTTGTTAATATAGAGTAAGAGAGTAAACCAAAAAAAAGACGAGTGAGAGACTAATGAACACAAATTTGGTGACAAGCCGAAAATTGTCTATACTATGTGTCATTTTATCTACCGACCAACAGAAAAACTCGTTGATTTTAATGTCCGCCTCACTATATACATATTCTCCTGAAAAATAAAATATCATTTTAGCTTTCTTCACCCCACTATGTTGACGACAATATAGTGTGTGAGGGTATATAATGATAATCTGTTAACTCTTATACACACATATATATATATGCATAAATTGGTATTTACATACCTATTTTACTACATTTTAGGGGGTAGACAAATATTAGTCTTGTTTTTGTTGTTGTTGTTGTGTTTTTTTCTCTCTTCAAGATATAATAATGCAATGAAAGGGGTTAGAAAAAGGGAAGTTCAATGAAAAATCATACAGACCAGAAAGAATCAGATTTTTCTTTCTTTCTTTCTTTCTTGCTTTTTTTTATTGACGGAATGAATGTGAAAGTTTACCGACAAATGGAAGAAATTGTGATATTTGTTATTATTGTTGATATGATGAGATAGACTTTTCATTGCTTTAACAATGATAATATTCATAATTTACCATAAAACTTTAAGGATATTTGTATTGTGAAACAACAGTACACAATTACACTAAATATAGACACATGAAATTATTTTTTTCCCTTCTTTTACAAATACCTTTCTCAATAATAATAATATGCCATATCATTATACAAACAATGTTAGATACACAATTTTTCACCAATCCTATTGAATGATTATTATAATAATTACGACAAAAGATAGATTTTAAGTATACATATTCCTTCTGTCTAACACTTGTTCCTTTAATAAATCCTCCCCCTTCACACACACACAGACAAACATGTTTATCAAATATGAAACATTACCATTTATTATTGAGTGATTCAAATCAATTTACTGTTGATAAATCAAATGAACAATTAAGAATGCTTAAAAATACAATAGATTATCATCAATCTTTAAATCATCATCATCATCATCATCACCAATCTTTGCATAAATCACTATCCTTAATATCATCATCATCATCATCATCAATACCACGAATATCAACATTGAATAGTTCTTCGAAATATTCAATAAAATCTGGTCATTTACATAAATTATTAAATAAATTTAAAGTAAATCGTATGAAAGATATTTCATTCTCATCGAATAGATTAACAAATAAACGTAAATTAATTACAAATTATACACATAAATCAATTAAACAAAAACGTTTAACTATAGATCCATTACCGATATCATCATATAGTTCTTCATCTATATCTAAATCACCACAATATTCATCAATATCATTCATAGATAATTGTTCAATTGAAAATAATAATAATAATAATAACGATTCAACAGTAATAAAAACTATCGATAAACAACATGGATTATTACATAAATCTTTACAAAATCATATCAATCCTAATTCATCACCATGTAAGATCATTATAAATGAATATGAAAATAATGATCAACTAACAAATGATCTAGATCATTTAATAAATCATCAAAATTCATTTATGAAATTATCTAGTAAAGCATCAGCATTTTCAATTGAATCTATTATTTCAAAAAAACAAAAACAAATTACAAATTATAATGGAATTATACATTATAATATAATCAATAATAATCAAGATGATTCCATTTCACATATTTCTGTATTATCAACAAAATATATAAATGATCAAAAAAATATAATCAATTCTGATCGATTAGAAAATCATTCATTATCATATTTATCTAGTTCAATATCAAATGGTAAGTAATATGAATAATTCATTGATTGATTATTGATTTGTAATAAGTTATGGTTTCTATGGTACTCTTTCCTATTGATAGATCATAATTGATAAAATAATTGGGTTTTTTTTTTAGATTCGATTAGAAATGTTAATTTTAGTTAACAGGTTAGCAATATTATTTATTTCTATTCTATGTTAAGTAGTATGTATTAGTCAGTCAGTCAATCAACTACAACATAGGACCAGGCACATTTATGCATTGGTCCAAGTTTCCATATCATATTAGCAGAATAAGATGAACACCGAATTCATAGAAGTAGTTAGTTCAATGATAGTAATATATAAAAGAAAGATTGTATATAAGAATATAGTACAGCAAGGAAGAAATATAAAGCGATATATAAAGCGATTTTAATCCCTTAGTTTAAGGGAAGACAGAGAGTGTATACACCAAAAGTCTCAAACCATTGCTTGCGATAGTCACACGGACCCTAACCAAGTAGTCTGAATCTACCAACATGGCTCAGACCAGAAGTTAGTGACTTCAAGCACTGATGCCTCGTTTTGGTTTGGCCGCCCCTAACTTTCTTCCAATTATCCCTAACACCGGTTAGCATTGCGCGCCGTGGTAATTGGTGTTCAGGCATACTCAACACGTGGTCCAACCATCTCAGTCGATGATGATTCATAACCTCATCAACTGATTTATCACTATTCCCTAATACCCTGCGTCTAACCTTACTATTACTTACTCGTTGATCCCAGCAGATGTCAGAAATATTTCTAAGGCATCTATGATCAAATAATTGTAGCTTACGAGTATCGTCAACTCTTCATGGCCATGTTTCTCAGCCGTAAATTAAGACAGAACGAACTACCGAGCAGTATACTCGTCCTTTTATTGATAGACGGATATATATATACAGTTATGATATTCCTTATGTTCCATACACTTTGATCATGATTATCTTATAAAAATCTTCTGTTTAAATGTAAAAAAAGCTTGTTTCACAATCGTTGAATACCTAATTGATGGTAGATGTTAGAAAGAGAAATTATATTGGTAAAACATTATAGTGATTGAAATGAAAAAGAGACTCCAATGTCTTGTTCAACAATCTGACCTAAGTATCTTCAAATGGTAATAAGCAAACATCAAAATTATCGATCATTATTCTTTATTACTAATCTATACAAACTATTAAGAAGCACTATTATTGTAATCCCTCATTACTTACCAAACATAGAAGTGATCAATGTACTGATCATAGACATTTATCAAAGTACTAAATAAAATTCTATAAGTACTCTGTTTAAATAAAGTAAGACTAATAATTACGTAACAGGATCATATGCAAATTCATTGATTTTCTAGATTTTGTTTATTTGTTTACAATCTGGAAACAATTCTGTTACCAGTTATAGGGAGAAGAAAAAAAACCATTCAAAATATATGTTCATCCTTTATATCACAAAAATCATAATTATAGTTAAGATTCAAACGGGCTAAATACATGGATAGAAATGAAGTTCCTTAAAATAGAAGTTTAATAGGTATCGACCTCAGACAATGAATGAATTATTGCACAAGATCATGGATTGTTTGAAGTTAGACATTAACGCTTAAGCGTTAGTTCACGAGACTTCATTTTCTGAGTTCGAGTCCCACATAGGTAATGGTGAATACACTGTTGAGAAGTATCATACTAGGATGAAAGGGATGTCCAGTTTTTCCAGGTTTTTCATAGCAGTTTAGTTTTAATCGACTTATGGATTCAACTCTTAAAAGTTAATTCAGTTTCCACAAACTCCCATTCTAATAATATTTGAGATTATTAAAAACAAAGTTGTATAAAGAACTTTAGAAACTAGAATCACCAAAGCAAATAGCAGTTAACCGGTATATCCTTGATTTAAATCTTTGTATAAAGACAATTTCAGCAAAAGATGATTCATTTAATGATTATGTTGGAAGATTTTGAAACATATCAACTGTTATAAAAATAATCAACAATTGAACTGTCGAATACATTATGTCTTTTTAGTATAATCTTTCGTGAAAATGTACTCAAAGATATAGAAATTAATCCTTCTTTCTATTATCTCAGTGTAGTATGTACATGTAAACTGGTACAAACGAATTAGATAGAACATAAGATAGGGAATTGTCTGTATTTGATTATTACAATAATCTATGAGTTCGATAGAGGCTGGGATTTTTTTTATATTTTTCCTAAAGGAATAATGCTATTGTTCTTAGGTTGTTGAGAGATGAATAGAATTAAATAACTAAATGATCTTTATATTCAGAGACGGGTTTTGTTGATATTCTAGTAATTTTAGTAGTTGAATTTATGAGTCAATTGGACTTAGACCACCATAAAAAACCTAGAAGCACTAGACAGCCGTTTCGTTCTAGTATGGGACTCCTCATCAGTGTGCATCTATCTCGTGAGACGGGATATTTATATAATTCTACAAATATTATTATTCTTTCTTTATTCAACGTTGTAAATAATGAAAATGGGTAATGAAAAGTGGGTAATAATGAAGTTTGAGACATTTTATTAGTACGATCTCTACCCCTTGAATTTGAAACTTTTAGATATTGTAACGAGTATTTATAATTTGATATTTTCAGTTGATATCCTCCTTATTTTCTTCCTTAGATCGATAGCACTTATTAGCACTACGAATTATTTCTGTAAAGTCTGAACTTATTTGTTGCCTTTCATTAAAATCATGAACCGATCTAAGTTGAACCACCCGTGACAAACATGGAAGCATTGAACAGCTGTTTCATCATAATATTGGACTCTTCAACAGTGCTCATCCACGATCTCCTATGCGGGAACCGAACTCAAGGCTTCTGAGTTTTCAGTGGTAGTTTAACTTAACTCAGTTCATGATTTCAATGAAATTTAACAATCTCCACAACCCCATACTGAAAATTATTCATTACAATTGACAAATATTGTAATGGAAAATTGTTTGGAAGGAATCTGTATAGATGTAACATATACCAGAAATTACCCCCTTCACACCTGAGAAGAGAAAGAAATAACCATATTCATACAGAAAACTACATTTTTCTTGGTTGTACTTGTGACTAAAAGAATAGACTTTTAACACTGTCAGTAAGTTTGTATATGGATGAAAAGATTGTGGAACAATAGTTATGTGGTCTAATAAATCATAATGAACATTCAAATGTACTTCTATTTTACATTAAAAAAACAAACAATAATAATTAGCAGTGATACTAGAGACTAAGAACAATAATGTATTGAGTATGTTACGAAATATATTTTTAATAACTTGCATATATAGAGGGTAACACTTTTCATTGATTTTTTCTTTGAAAAAAAAAGTCTTTTAGAAATACTTTCTGGTACCCTAAATAAAGTTTAAAGAGAACTTGGCTTGAAACTATTTATGAAATAGACTATTATCCAATGAAGATTATACTAGTTTTGTCATTATATGAGAGGTGAACAAGTTTGATGATCTAATGAATTAACATACATTTGCTTAAATTACTAAAGTATGATATTTTGGTAATAAATTTTAATTGTTGAGGTCATGAGTCAATTGAAGATATATCACCATGGAAAAACTGGAAGCACTAGACGGCCGTTTCATCCTATTGTGGGATTCCTCAGCAGTGTACATCGACGATCCCGTCTAGTGGGACTTGAACCTAGGACTTACTGGTCTCGCACAAGAGCACTTAACGACTAGACCACTGAGTCGGCAACCAGCGGTGTTAATATTTAACTTCAATGCACGAAATTGAGCGACACACCCACCATTGTCATCAGTGATTTACTATCTCACAAATGAGGAGTCCCACAATAGGACGAAATGACCGTCCAGTGCTTCCAGATTTTCCATAGTGGTCTAGCTTCAATTGACTCATGATCTCAACAACTGAAATGACTAAAATCTCCACAAAACCCCTCCTGAATCCAATAGTTTTTAGTCATTATTAAATACTAATATAGGATGTGGATGATTAATTCATATAGTGGTTACGTTTTCATTGATTTACTAAAATGTACAACTGGATAATAAAGATTTAGAACAAAGTGGTAACATAAAAATTATTATATTTCTCTCCCTCTCTTTCTGTCCCTCTATGTTAAAACGCACGTTTTAGTATAAGTTATCAGTAGGCAGAGACTGGATAGAACTTAATTATAACCACTATTGAACGCTTAACAATAATCAAATAACCAAACTGTTTCACATTACTCTTTCACATATATACTTATATACAATTTTAATATTTTTAATGGTTAAGATCATGAGTCAATTAAAGCTAGACCACCATAGAAAACCTGGAAGCACTGGACGGCCGTTTCGTCCTATTTTTTTGGGACTTCTCAGCAGCGCGCATCCGCAACTTCACCCCAGCGAGATTCGAACCCAGGACCTACTGGTTTCGCGCACGAACACTTAACCACTGTTTTTATCAAAACAACAGATCACATACACACGCACACATACATACATATATACATATATACATATTGTTCTTTAGTTTGCCTCTATTCCCTTAATTTAATGAATCTAATATGAAATTATGATACAATGAAGTCAATTTATTTATTTGTTTCCCTTCTCTTATAACTTTTGCGTTACTCCACAAATGAAATATCTATTAATCATATTCGAAACCATTCAAAAAATTACTAGCAGTGGTAGTATTGCCACTATTATTATTATTACTACTACCAATAATAGTAGTAAGAGACCCAAGATATATATACATATATATATCTATGATTATGACATCTTGAAATTGTTACAAAACACTATAATCGTTAAAAAAATATATCTCTTCTTTAAATTCAAATATTATTTACCGGTTTAATTTAATTATTATTAACAAAGTATCATTGTTTATAAATGATCATTATTATTAATTGCCCATATTTTAAAATTAAAAAACAAACAAATAAACAAACACCATCTCCACCATCTCAAACCAAATTGTTATTTATCCTATGACAT